TTTTCTATCTCTCCATTCCTTCGATGGGCCCGCACTCGCGAGAAGGCCTCCTTGGGAGACGAGACAACGGGATCAAGAAGCGGTGGGAGAGACAGAGATGGGAGAGATCGATTTGCGAGAGGCGCGAGTGCGCTCGAATTCACACGCTCCTTCATCGTGAGCCGAAACTCCCGGTATCTCGCTTGGATATCTGTCCTGATTCTTCATGCACATCCTAATGTATTCTGAGGTATCCTCCGATATCTTCACCTTGTCTATTTTCGTCTATGGCGTATGCCTTCGGACAGCTGGCCCTAAGACGTTAACAAACGTTCTGTTCATTCATTCTTTCTTTCTCCTCCTCCTCCTCCTCCTCCTCCTCTCTCTCTCTCTCTCTCTCTCTCTCCTGAACCGATTATTGATTCCTTATGCTCGCGAGGGACCCCATAGCGGCGTCCATCGATCGCCATTTCCAATTAACAGCAGCATTGATTGAGATTCTCACTAAAAAGAAAAAAAATATATGCGCACGCGAGAGAAATGTGCAAAAGTGCACAGAGAGACAGAGAGAGAGAGAGAGAGAGAGAGAGAGAGAGAGAGAGAGAGAGAGAGAGAGAGAGAGAGAGAGAGAGAGAGAGAGAGAGAGAGACACAGAGAGAGAGAGAGAGAGAGAGAGAGAGATAAGAAAGCGACCTTGGAGTGAACGGCACTGAAAAAAGAGTTATCGAGCGCAAAGTTTTAATTGCGATCGAGTTTGCCCGATACGTTCGCGGCACTTCCTCGTCCGTCCGCAACCGCCGGCGAAGAGCAAGACGCGCGAATGTTCAGGCTGACATTCCGGGATGATATTTTTAAACCGCGAGCCCGCGAGAGCCCAGCAGCGTCCTAGCAGCGTCCAATGCTTTTCCGGGTGTTACGCCGAGATGAGACGCGATGAGCTCGCCGCACGGTGGTCTAAAATCGTAAAAACCTGGCAAAAAGTCAGTTTTTCTAATTCGTGAAAATATCAGTAAGAATTATGGTAATTCCAAAACTATATGCGAGGAACAATTTTTTGTGATTTCTTGTAATTTAAATGCTTATACGTTGCCTTGAATACACAATACAAGTGGATAAAAATGAAGAATTTTTAGTATGTTTCACATGCCGCTTTCTGCACTGTATTTACTATACATCAGCCTTTAAATTAGTTAGTGGTTCACTAAAATGTTTTAGTACAATGTATTATTATTTCACATGCATGCTTTAAGTATTATTCGCAAAATTGACAAGTAAACTTAACAATCGATACTGCAACTTTATTACAAGCTTCAGCCGTCCTTAGCCAAAAAAGTTATGTTTATGGTCAAATTGACCAGAATATCATACTCTTGAAGCATGTGAGGAAAGAAATTTTGCTACTCTTTGCTGATTTCGTTTCTATAATAAAAAATCAGGCGAGCATTAAGTTACAGTTGTTAGTTATGTGATTGTAATTTCTGTGTGTAATCAGAAGAAAACTATTGGTGTCATAGTAAACATAGATAACACGCGCGCGTGTGTGTGATATTTAAGGCAATATTTAAAAAATAAATTTATTTATATTTCTTTACGAGCAGATGGTTTATCTCCTTTTATCGTTGTATGTTATTGTTTTTAAAAAAAGTATCGGTAATCTTTAAATTTCGGGAAATATGAGCTGTAAGATAGCAATATTGGCAATAATATTTGTCTTCGTATGACATTTAATTATGAAAAATAATCTGAGTCGCTATCTTCAACAATTGCGGAATAATTAACTCGTACCGTTTCGAAAACCCCACATATATAACCACTGTATATAACTTATTGTTATATCGCGAGTTATTACTAACGATAGTAATTTTTGTCACAAAATCGGGCGTTTAGACAATTGTATGCCGGGAAGTCGAAGCGTGCCCCTTCGTTTGCTGCAGAACACGCTGCAACGCGCTCCGCCGACTGCGCGGATCGCCGCGTTCCGCGCGCTGACGTAAGAGACTCTCATGAGAAACAATAATCGCCGGGGGCAACGAGACGCGACGCGACGCGGACGCGGACGCGGACGCGGACGCGTCCGCCCCGCCGACGACACCTCGGTCGTATTTTTCGGAGCAGCCGCTGCGACACGCGACGCTCCCGTCGATGACGATAAATGGCAGAATGATTGGCGGCACTTTTCCACGGCGGAAAACATATCGTGACTCAGCACGACGGCGGAGCGTGCTAGTCTTCCCCGGCTCGATGCCACGTCCGTTGAAAAGTCGAAGATCAAGACGCATTGTGATACGTGCGAGGTGAGCGCAGAGTATTGTCGATACACTATCGATGCGCCGCGCGTTCTCTTCAGTCGCATTTTTAACATTTTTCTCATCAATCGCCGCGCGAGACGACCGCGGCGAAGGACGACCGCGCCGCACGACCGAGATCAAGGTGTGCCTTTGTGCGCGCACGACCAAGCGGCTTTTTTTCGCGCGCGGAGCGAGCGAATGCCGAGTATGCAGAAATCGCGTCGAATCCACGCTGTTGGTTCGTTCATTTTTTTTCTCCTTTGTTCCCAGTAGTATACTACTGTGATCAAAAGGTATCCGAACTTTATTAAAAAGAAATCAAAATTACAATTCAATCGTGAAAATTCTTATAGTCTCCTTCAAAGTAGTCCCCGTTGCTTGCAACGTACATATGCCAGCGTTTGATCCAGTCCTGGAAACATCGCTCATATACGGCAGACGGTATGGCCTTTAATTCACGCAGCGATTTTTCTTTCATGTCCTCAATCGATTCGAAACGCTGTCCGCGAAGTGGTCCTTTCAACAGGGGGAACAGGAAAATGTCGCAGGGGGCCATGTCTGGTGTTATACGACGGAGCTTGCGGAGCGACATTCGTTAAGCTTTTTGTCAGAAATTCACGCGCAAGTGTCGAGGTATGCGATGGTGCGTTGTGGTGATGCAGAATTCACGAGTTGTTTTCCCACAATTCCGGTTCTCACAATTCTTACGGATTGTGTGCTGGCACGATCCAAATGATATTCCAACTTCATCTGCTATCTTTCGCACAGTCAATCGACGGTTTTGGAGCACCAATTCTTTCACTTTCTCAATGTGAGCGTCATCTGTTGACGTTGATGGTCTTCCAGAGCGTGGGTCGTCTTCAGCGGATTCTCGTCCTTCTTGAAACTTCTTAAACCACTCAGACGTACTTGTTTTCGATGAACAATCATCCAGCCAAAGCCATAAGCCTTTTGCAGCATTTTGAATGCGTTTGTGAACGAAATGTCGTTCGCAACACACAATTTCAAACAAATTCTTTGCTTGCCATACCTTTCGACATCGTAAAAATCGCCGTGCACAACAATCTTCATTGACATAAACAATTGCCACTTTCAAACGGCATGAAGGAACGCCATGATTTTTTCCACCAAATACGAAGGACATGTGTACCAATTTGAGAAAGCAAACGGATTTGATTTACAGTTTACCCGCGATTTTTAAGAAATAAAGTTCGGATACTTTTTGATCGCAGTAGTATATCTGCAATCCGAATACGGGCCATAAGCAGATTTCTTGTGCGAATTAGTATTGTGAGAGGTGGAATAATAATCTCCAATAATCTCCCTCCTCATTTTAATATCGCTAGCGCTTAAATAGCTCTAGTATACCGTATCTTTGTAACTGGTTTGCTCATGCAGGATACAATTGTCGCTCATTTATTTATTTATTTATTCAACCGGAGAGGAAGCGCTTGTCTCTTCGGCGGAGGGAAAATGCTGCATTTACGCAGGATCTGCGACGCGGATTTTCGTAAATGCATGAGCAAGAGGAGTAGAAAAGAGATTGGTGACGAAGAAGGCAATAATCGTGCGAAATGAAGAGTACTCAGCGTGCGATTTTGCATGCGATCGAAAATAGACGCGGCAGAAGGAGTCGACCGACTCCGGGAAGAAGTCGCAGGAAGTGCAATGCTTGGCAGCAATAATTGTCAGTTCGCACAATAAGATTGAAATTTTAGCAGGAGTTTGTTCGGAGCATTTCCGAGGAAAGAGGAGGACTCGAGGATCAGCGTTGAACTTCCAGCCAGCCGGCTGTTGCAATATTCATTTACCCGAAGGCGAAGGAGGAATGAGAACTTTCGAGTCGACGGGCGACCAGTTTTTCGAAGTTAAAAAAAACATTTCGGCTAAGCGCGTATACGCGCGTGTGTATAGTTCATCATCGATAAAAGTCAAATTAGTCGAGAAATGGCACGTTAACTGTCGACTAATGAGCCGTGACGGCTAAAATGAATGGCTAAAGTGAATGAGGGGAGAAGAAACGCTGCAAAAAAAAGGTAATCCCCGCGCGAGGCAAGTGCGGAATTTAGCACCGACTTGATTCGCGCGCGCGTTACATCATCTTCTAAATAAATAAACTATTACAATAAAACGGCTCCCATTCTTTCACGGCGATAAGGCACCGTCGGCATAAATCAAGCAACAGTTTTAGCTATATCGCGGCCGAGCCACCCCTTCTTCGCGAAACGATACTCCCAGCAGATACTCGACAAGCTCGCGCCGTGTCGCGCGATTAAATAAAGCCGCGCGTGGAGAGAACTTTGTGCCCTGGACTCATATAATCGTTCCTTTTATTTTTTCGCCGATTATCTCGCGCAGAGAAATCACCGGGAGTCGAGCGCATATCGTCGAGCCAGTGTTTTTCTCGCAATAAAATCTGTAGCTGGCTGACGAATAAAAAAATAAACTTCACAACACATAGTGTAAATTTTGATACGAACCGGCTATTTCTGCCGATAACGCGCTTCAATGTAAGCCGTTACTACGATATGCTATGCCGTATCGTTCTATAATGTTATACATTACGTGTTGCGTGTTATCGAAGCTCCTTCTCTTCCCTCGCTCTTCCTTACCTTTTTTCACGATTAAGCACATGCTTGAGTCATAAGTCATTAATACGACGAACTAGTCACATATTTTGGACATGTGTATAAAATCGTCGTCTCCGGCGAGCGGCCGACAGTTCGTTCCCGAAAATCGTACGGAAATCAGTGTGGCATTCCGCTCACTGCCCGCGAGGTGGCTAATTCGCGAGTGATAAGATCTTCAAGCGTGGACACCGCTTACGCAGCTAACGAAGAGACGCGAGGGACGAGAAACGTCGCGCTTTGTTCCGCCCTGCCGAAAGCAAGTTCGAGGCCGAGGAGGGCACCGGATGCGTCGGGATACGGGGATCCTGCGGACCAGGACCCTACGTCGCGCCCCAGATATTCGAGAGCCATCGCTTTCCCGGGAATAATAGACGCACAAGTAACAGCCATGGCAGATGGTTCAGCCATCGGCACGTTGTTTCTCGCTAGCCGCTAGCGCGTTATTGTATATTCCACATCCGCACGGACGAGTCGATCGGATGCAGCGAGGGCCGGCCGATACCGAAGGAGCATCTGTGCATCTTCGTGTTCATGCAAATCGGTGTTGTGTTGTGTAAGTCCGTCTCTGTGTACGTGTGCGTCGCGAGTTACTTACACGATTGCACACACGCGCGCGCACACACACACACACACACACACGCACGCACACGCACGCACGCACGCACGCACGCACACACACACACACACACACACACACACACACGCGCGCGCGCGCGCGCGCGCACGCACACGCGCACGACGCACGCACACACACACGCATACACACACACACACACGCGCGCGCGCGCACACACACACACACGCACGCACGCACGCGCACACACACACACACACACACACACACGCACGCACGCACGCACGCACGCACGCACGCACGCACACACACACGCACACGCACGCGCGCGCGTACACACACGTAGCCACATGGACGTGTGCGCGCGTGGTGGCACGTACGCCTCACACTCGCAAGTCTCTCTCTCTCTATTGGTGGTGGCCCGGTACACTGGGCATTCAGTAGTATATAAGGGCATCTCTTTCGCACGGTCACGCATTAAGCGCAGGGAGTCACCGCGTGATACATCACGCGCTAGGCGAGACAAGTGTGGCCCAGCACCGTGAGGCACGGTGCAGGATCATCCGGCGATTATTACGCGCCGTATTAATCGACGAGCGACACATATCTCCTTACCGCCCCAGAGAGAGAGAGAGGGAGAGGGAGAGAGAGGGAGAGAGAGAAAGAGAGAGAGAGAGAGAGGGGGGGTGGAGGGAGAGGGAGACGCTTCCTCGCGAGCACGCTTGCACAAGCACCGTCACCTTCCGATTCTTATATAATTGTCGTTCCTACGCTCGCACGCGTTCACATATCACATCCTTTGCACGGGACACCGGTGACTTCAGACTAGAACCGGCTCTCCCGTTTCTCGCTGCGCGATCACTTGCGAGTACGTGGGTTTCCGCGACGGGAGACACATCGAGAAAGAGAGGCTTATCGCTCGCGAGCACAAGCGCGCGCGCGCGCGCTGCGTCGATCGACGTCGATCCTCGTGATTCCGATTTTCCCTCCAGGAAGCCTCCAGGAGGCCGGGCGCGACCGCGAACGGGCAGTTCCGTGCAACAAGTAGCCGCAGAGAGGCGGGAAAGGGGGGTGCAGATATCAAGACAATCGTCGGCGGTACCCAGCGGTCTCTCTTCGCCGCCGCTCCTCAACATGTTCGCCGACGGGTTGCCCGGGTTCCTCACGGAGTCCTGGATCACTCCGGTGCTGTTTTTCTCCATGTTGTCGGTCATGCTGCTGCTGCTGGTGAAACGTGGCAAATTCCTGTACGCCCTGAGGAACGTGCCTTATCCTACCGCACTGCCTGTCATCGGCAACGCATATCAGCTCAATTGTTCAACGGAAGGTAAGCCTTATCAGCTGGAAAGAAAAGAAAGAACCCGTCGAGCGTTGCTCGCCCGCGAGAATCATCGACGACTCGCGATTGACTCGCGTGAACTCGCCCCACGATACTCGTGAGGAGTCTCTCCTCTCGACTGTGGCTCGACCGTTATCGTCCGTTATCGTCGAAGAACGAATCTTGTTACTTTGCGAAAAATACGGTACAAAACTTATCCTCGCTCGTCTTATCTTCGTCGGGCATAAGGAAACAGGACGATAAGAGAGGACGATCGCGCGTCCAATTTGCGTATATTCAGTACAATGAGAATGATAATAATCATTTTTAGTCTTGTTATTTTGCGAAAAATACAGTTCAAAGCTCGTCCACGCTCGTTCTTCGTCGGGCATGAGGAAGCAGGACGATAAGAGAGGACGATCGCGCGTCTAATTTGCATATATATGTTCAGTACAATGAGAATAATAATAATAATTTTTTAATATACCGCACGCACGGGTATAAATTATTTTAATAAATTCACTGATCGGAACGCTTCGATAAGCGCGCTATCGTGCGCAATCAAGTCGCCGTAATTACGAGCGATTAACGAGCGGCATTTCCATAAACGACGCACTTTTCCAATCATCCACCCCGAAAGTCCTGTATAAACGCGCAACGACACGCTGAGGTGTTGCATAATATCCGTTGTTCGCTAATGGGTGTTTTGCATGTTTCTTTTTTCCTTTTTAATGTTCTTCTTCCGTCTCGATTTCCTTCTCCTCATTTTCACACCTACGACAGACTGCGTGTACCGTTGACGTCGCAGCTTCACCGCTGTCGTTTTATAATTTGACAACGCGTTCTCCGAACGTCCCGCGTTAATCCCTGAAGAGCAGCGGACATCCAGGATGATCGTCTGCGCACGATTACCTGCATGTCTGTCGACAAATTCGTCCTCAAGCACGAGTTCTCCGATTTTAGGCGTCAGACGACTCACGACCGTCGATCATCGGCAATTTCGCAACTTCGGCTGTGAGGATGATCGCGATGCACGGCTGAAACGCGCCGAAGTGAGAACGACCGATAACTCGCGAGCACAATCACAAAAATCAGGTCCGTGATTGTCCGCCGTCGTCTTTTCTCTCGATTTCTGCTTGATCCCAATTCGGTCGTAAGTGCCTGACCCGATCCTCCGTTCTAAATTTAGCCGCGGAATCGCGAGATCGAGGGGCGACGTTGTTGCCGCTCGATCGAGAACGAACAAGTGCTGATAACACGATGAACGTTACATCGCTTGTATCCGCTTCAAATTACAAAAGGAAGGAGAGCGGAAAGCGCCCGTGCACGAAAGCGTCGACTGCTCTTTCTCGATTAACAGGTCGCTGTCGCGCGTCCGTTACGTCACACGACGCCGAGTGGACTCGAGAGGAGACGCGCGCGTCCCTCGAACTTTCTCAACGCGGCGATTGCGAATTTCGCTCGCGAACGGTCCTTATTATCTCGCCCCGTCGACTCGCACTTTGGAATTCGATCGGCCGACCTCGCCGCGGCTTTTTCGCGGACCCTCCCAGTGCCTGCCGAGGCATCATCGCCTCGAGCCGGCAAAGATGATAACGACGCGGCCTTGGCGGTGACAAAAATTCGCGCGGGCTTTTCCGCTACAGCGACGTATCCGCAGAGCGCGTCCAATAACGGCGACACGTGCCAGCCATCCGCGCGCGCGCGCGCGCGAGCGCGAATCTGATAAGACGCGCATCTCGAGAGGTGATTCGCGATCGCTTTCATTCATCCGCCGATATCCGCACGCGAGCTATCTCGCCGCGGGCGGCGTGGCGTGGCCGCTGGAAATTGCCGCTTCCTCGGAGGATCAGGCGATGCGCGGGCAGCGGCGGGGGACGGGGGGTATTTTCGAGTGCGCGACTTATCGATGCAGTGGCCGACTCTCGGAGAATCGGCGAGAATCGGGCCTTCTTCGAGCGAGAACGCTCAACGAGGGCCGGTTCCTCGGTCGTCGGCAGCCGTTCCCTCCCGGCTGCGCGCGGCGCGATGGAAATCGGCGTTTTCCCGCGTGAACGGAGCGGCCGCGAATGATCCTGAGTTATTTCGGCTTGACTTCCGGTGATTCTGCGAGTCCAGTGAGTAAGTAACTGAGCTGCCTCTTCGAAGGCGAAGTCGAAAACTTGCTCCCGATCAGACCCGTTCTCTTAATACCCGGATGTATTCGACGCGCGTGTACGTCTCGGCGCGATCCGAGTGCCACGAGACAAACGATTCCGCGCGCTCGCGGAATGATAAAGAAGAAAAAAAGAAGAAGAAAAGAGAAAGGGAGAAGGGAAAAAGGAGTAGAAAAAGGGATGCGGGAAAGAAAGGAGAGAGGCGGAGATAAGTGCAATCGGTGGCTCGCAGCAGTGATCGCCGATTCGTCGGTCGTAAAAAGACGAAGAAGAAAAATGAGCAAGGAGAGAAGGAGAAGAAGAAGAAGACGAAGGAAAGGAGGTCGAGGTCGTTCGAGTGCTTTCAATAGCGGCGAGTAATTGTAACGCAATTTTGTACGCACGCGCATCTCTCTCTCTCTCTCTCTCTCTCCCCCTTTCTCCCTCACGTCACACAGACACACAGGCACACTGACTCTTTCTCTTTCTCTCTTCCTCCTCTGTTCTGCCCCTCTTTGTTCTCTCCGACAGAAGGAAAAAGAGAAAGCGTCACGGCGCCCAAAAGCGAAGGTTCCGCGCGTGGCGAGACCAGACGAGATTCCTCGCGGCGGGATTGCCAGAGGATGACTCCGGCCAGACTCCGGCCAGACGCTGTCCGCGAGAAGAGAATAGAGTTTGGCTTTGATGGTGCGCGTGCGTCTACACGTGCTACGATAAAATGCGGCAATCGAGGGGTCATTACGGGCCGGCGCAAAAGAGGACGAAGGCGATTAAGGAAGCGCGGCGCGGTAACGGCTCTCGCGGCGGGGGTGAAAGAAGGGGGGGGATACACGTCGCTGAAGAGAAAAAAAGACGAAGCAAAAAAGGGAGAAAGAGAAAAAACCGTCGGATAACCGATGTTATTGTCGAGATTGACGTGATTATCGTAACGCGTCGCGAATACGCAAGGCGTGCAAGGCGGCGCTCAAATCTATTTTTGTCTTCTCCTTTTTGTGCTCGGACTTTATCTTTTGTTCGCGCTCGCGTGGAGAGTTTTCTTTTCTCTCTTCTTTTCCTTCACGCTGAGTGAAGTTACACGTTACATCGATTGTGTGAGGCAAGAGCTTTTCGACGAGGAGAGAGACCGACGGGGAAGAGAGGATTTGCCAGGATCGAGAGACGCGTACGTATCCTGATCCTTATTATCCGATTTGTCTCTTGCATACTCGAGTACCCTCACGCGATGTCCGGAGCACCTGCCAACCGTGGCAGGTGTAAAAACGCTTAGATCGTCTAGACTCCTCTACTTATAACGGGAAAATCAATTGGCAAGATGACGATTGAGATGAAGAGAGAGAGAGAGAGAGAGAGAGAGAGAGAGAGAGAGAGAGAGAGAGAAAGAGAGAGAGGGAGGGACAGAGTACAACGTCCAAGAGTTAATAGCACCAGACAGGCCTTGAGGAGAATTTTTTCTCGTCCGATGAGCACGAGAGACATTTTGATCTTATTCCTCTCTTCAATTACGCGCTCGATAATGAACGAGCGAAGCACGATCGCGCGTTCTCCCGCGTGAGACGAGAAGTGGCCGTTTCAGGCCGTAAAAACGCCTATACCATGCATAATGCATCCCGCGCGTTATGTCATCCTTATTCTCCGGCCGAATTTGCGACGTATATCCCCGAAGAGGGGGCTGAAGCACTCGGCGGCGCTAAAATGGACCGGTGGTGTCGAGGTCCTCCATCGTCCGAAGGACGCCTGGCGTCTCGTTGCACTCCCAAGGTCTCCAGCAGCTCCTTCCGTTCTTTTCATACCGACTCTTCTCTTCCTCTCTCTCCCTCTCCCTCTTTTTATATCTCTTCTTCTTTCTTGCTACTTCTCTCTCTCTCTCTCTCTCTCTCTCTCTCTCTCTCTCTCTCTCTCTCACTCGCTCTTGTTTTCGCTCTCTCTCTTTCTGTCTCTCTTGCTCCACGCTCATCGTCCACATCGTGCAAATATGCATGCTGTCATTTTTACTGGTCAACGTCCGGTCAGCGAAACAGTCTCTCCTTCTCTCGGCTGCCAACTCGCTGCACGTGCAGCGCGATGTCTCTCTTCCTCTGCCATCTCGTTCTTGATCCTTCTCCCTTCTCCTCTGCCCCTCTCGTTCTCCCTTTCTCTCTTTCTCTCTCTCTCTCTCTCTCTCTCTCTCTCTCTCTCTCTCTTTCTCTCTGTTTTTCTCCCATCCTCTGCATCGCATTGACATCATTTCTTTGTTTCCCCGTCGGCGGCGCCGGGTCCTCTTCTCGCAATTTGCGCCAGCGAGACGTAGAGCAGCCTAGAATCGTAACGACCATAACGACGATTGACCTGACGTGATAGCACAGCGAAAGGTCTACATCTCCTCACGGCGTCGCGGGTCGACGACCTGCGCGCACGAGCGCGGCCGGGGATAATCCTCGCGAAAGCCACGGCTAAACGTAGTCAAGGCAAGCGTGTCATCGCTGCAAATTTTCGCCGAGCCGCACCGTCGAATTAGAATTTGCAAGCGTGACCGTCCGCCCCGAGATCTCCCCTCAGGTAGAAGCGAGGGACCTTCTCGCGCATTTGAGTCTGCGACTCGTCTCTCTGTTTCAGAGTTCTTCAAGAAGCTGGTGAAATGGGCCGAGCAGTTCGGTGACATTTTCCTCATCTGGGTCGGCATGCGACCGTTCATCTTCCTCTACAAGGCGGAGGCGGTGCGACCCTTGCTGAAGAGCAGCATCCACATCGACAAGAGTCTCGAGTACGAGTACTTGAAGCCCTGGCTGGGTACCGGCCTGGTGACCAGCAACGGTAAGCGACTTGTGATTCACTTCAATGCGCGCGCCGTCGAGAAGATTATAAGAGACAAATGCTTTGGCTGAACTTTTAACACCTTCCCGTTTCCCTTTCGCTCTCGTTCTCTACACCGCGCGAACAGCGTGTGCAGCTAAAGCCGACAGACGCGAAGATCAGCAATCTGTGGCATGGGTGGACCCAAGGATCCTTGACATTTCCAAGTGCTGCAACGCTGCAGCGCCATTATCGCACGATTATTTGCATATGCAGCAGTATAGCAACGTGATGTAATACATTGTCAATGGATGAATTTGTATGCTCGTATTTCCTTGGGTTCTCTCTTCGCGAATAGCCGCACTCGTCGACCTCTCGCCCAATTAATCTTATCTGCCTGCGTGACTTGAATTTCTCTTGCATCGAGCATATCGCGAGTGTCTCGCTGAATGAATATTGATGATATGCGCGAGTGCATAATTCGAGGTTTTTCTGCAACGTAAAGAGATATCGGGTTAGTGCGTCATTATTATATGCGGAAGTAGCAGTCAGTTGCTCAAAAGTGCTCACTATCGTCCAAGAATATTGCAGACGGTAGCCAGAGTCGAGAGTTGCGATTGTTAGTCCATTTGCCTTTAACACGTTAAGCGCCGGGAACTTTTTGTTGATCTTTCCGTGTTCGCCGCGCGCGTATACAGAGTGTCCGGGATCATTTGGAAATGAAAAATTGTGAAGATTAATCAGACCAATCTGAGAAAAGAAGTCACATACCATTTTGCAAAAATCGCAATAGTTATTAAGTTATTAATGACTGAAAACGTCCATATCTAAAAGCTCCTTTAATTAATAACTTGAAAATTTACTTATTTGCAAAATAGTAAAGGACTTTTTTGTTCAGAATGACCTAATCTATATGACGGCTATTATGTCTAGCGATAGATATGAGTATATTGAACTTTGAACTCTGAATCTTGAACCTGTCGCCAGGCTAAAGCTATCATATAATTGTATATTAGGTCATTCTGAACAAAGAAATTATTTACTATTTTACAAATAAGTAAGCAAATTTTTACGTTATCAATTAAAAGAACTTCTAAATGTGGTCATTTCTTCTATCATTAATAATTTAATAACTATTGCGATTTTTGTAAATTGGTACTTGGCAAATTGGCTTTCCTTCTCAGTTTGATCTCATTAATCTTTACAATTTTTCTTTTCTAAAAAATCCCGGGTATTCTGTATATATATATAGAGGGTGTATAAAAAATACGAATTGTTATTAAAAAATATTGTTAATTTGATGATTTTGAGATTTCCAAAAATCGATAAGTTAACAAAAGTTATAGTACTATTGTAACAATATATTATTGAGACCAAATAGAGTAAAAAAGTCTAGTATCACTTTTTCTTCCGACAAATAGTTAACGAGATATCGTAAGATAAATATTGAAAAAGTTATCAAGTTGTCTTTAAATATCTCGAAAAATATTAGGCAAATAAAAAAATATTTCAGACAAAAGTTGTTCAAATTAATTGGTAGAAAAAATTGATATAATAAAAAGTTGAAATTTCCATTTAAGAAAAGTAATGATCGGTGAATATCTCGAAAGTGGCACCATCTGTAAACAGAATGATGTAGTTGTTTTATTGTTCTCCTTGAAACCATACACAACTTTTGTCTGAAACATTTTTTTTCTAAAATGCTCAGTTTTTGAGATATTTCGCTGTCCCGATACTTTTTATACACCATATGTGTCCCGTGCCACCCGATCTTTTTGTAAACGCGACACTCTAGAGAGAAATGTTTCAGACAAGAGTTGTTTAGTTTGAAGGGGGACATAAGACAGCGATATCATTTTGTTTACAAATGTTGAAAAAGTTACCAAGTTTTCCTTAAATCTCAAAAAATATTAGGTAAATAAAAAAATGTTTCAGACAAGAAGAAATTGTCAAAAAATTAATTGGTGGAAAAAAATAATAATATATAATAAAACATCGGGATTTCCATTTAAGAAAAGTAATGTTCGGTGAATATTTCGAAAGTAACGCCATCTATAAACAAAATGATATAGTCGTTTTATATCCCTTTTGAAACCATACAACTTTTGTCTGAAACATTTTTCTCTAAACTATCGCGTTTACGAAAAGATCGGGTGGTACCAGTGATCTAGGACACTCTGTATATACAAGTAATACATAGATATATTTTTCTTTTTCTACAATCTTCTTAATACTTTTAATTTTTAATATTGGGATATTATTTATTAAATTTTGTATTGTCGACTACTGAGTGACGGACGCGGCTTGGAAGGAAAATTTATCGTCGATCACCGACATGGCGTTTAACGTGTTAATTTCGTCACCAACGCGATCGCATATTGGATCTGTTCTTTCAACAGTGAATTCTGGAAGTTCTATCGATTTTTGGCGGGGAAGCGTTGAGGTTCGCGCGATGAATAAATTTATCAGATAAGCAGGATATTCCAACGGCGTCGAACGGCGGTAATTGTCGCTTAAACACTGCCTATCTGGTTTGTTCAGACGGCAAGAGTACATTTGCATTTTGATGTAAGCCAAAGTCAAGAAAGAAAGAAAAAAATTACACACACACGCACACATACATGCTCGAGTCGGCGCGTCTGTCTTGTTGCTATTTGAAATGAAAAATAGACATGCGCTGTGTCGCGAGAGCAATTCTCACGACTCATGAAAATGTCACAAGGATTGCGCTGCGGCAGTTTTGCTTCTGACACACGCAGCGCTCGTGCGGTTGTGTGAAGTTCGAAAAAGCGTCCCAGAGATATTCATAGGTGAAGGTTATAAACGGAATAACGTCTTTGAAAAGAAATCCCACCCAGTTGATGTGCTAAAAATAAGTAGGATTGAAGTAAACATTTGGAATTTGAATTTCAATTCGAGCTCTCGACTCCGGCAAAGATGCGAGCATGAAAATTGAATTATCACGCATAATGCGAAACTCACGATATGAAGGGAAGATATGTTCAGGCTTTCATATTTAGAAATCTCGAATTAGACGCGAGATTTTATATCGTGCCTCAAATTTTTCCGCTCGCATTTTTTTTTCGCTGGTAGCAACAAAAATATTGATGTGAACTCTATTTATACGAATTGTCTCTTACGAAATGATTGCGCTTATCTCAAACGCAAGTTTGGCCAATAAAAATATGTATGCATGTAGATGTCCCAACTGACATGCTTGCATTCCTCGATCTATCGATTTGCCTTCACTTAGATATATGATATTTGATATATCAGATATTCTATTTTATACGATATTAAATATGATATATGTAATATTTCTCTTTCTCTCTCAATTGTGGTCGAGCAAGTTTCTTAATGCTCAATCAAACATTATTATCGATAAATTATCGAGATATCAATCAGAATATACAACATATATTCGTGCTAATTTAAATTCACGATTCGAACTCGTTTGGTGATTGTAGCTACTAAGTTGATCCAAGAATAACCTCTTCGATGATTTGTTTCGCAAGAAAGTTTGGTATCTTCGTGTCGCGTTCGACGAGATCATTCCAGTTTGAGACTTTCAAGCAATGTAGCAATGACGCACTTTGTATTTATACAGAAATATCAATCGCATCGCCTCTTGAGAGTAAACGTGACGTAATTACAAAAAGATAACTGGTTTGCGAACTAGTTTAGCTTCCAGAAATAACTATTCGTCCTTGTCGCAAGCTCGCAGAAAAAAGAAAACTGCCGGTCACTACCATTGAGTAATTGCACCACTTTAAGCTGAACACAAAGAATCAAGATTCCTGTGCGTGCAAAATTGCAGAGTATAAAGAAAAGAAAAACCGATGAAACACCAAAGAGCTTCGGTCAATGAAACGATCCAGTCAAGCTGGTTTTATATGTGAAAATATATTTTAGTCTACTGCGAAATTGTTTTTAAATTATTAGCGTTCCGTGAAATTTTGCGTCATGTTGCGTCATGTCTTGTCTTTATGACCAAGCAAGAGGAAAAATAATGTTTTGATGAGAAATATGTTTTAATATACAGGGCCTGGGATCTTTTTGAAAAGAAAAATTATGAAGATTAATTAGATCAAAGGAGAAAAGTCAAGTACTATTTTACAAAAATCGCAATAGGTATTAAGTTATCAATGATTGAAAATGACCACATCTCTTTCTGAGAAGCTCTTTTAATTGATAACTTGAAAATTTGCGTACTTATTTGCAAAATGGTAAAGGACCTTTTTGTTCAGAATGGCTTAATTTACAATTATATGATGGCTATTGTCTAGCGATAGATATAAATATATTGAACTTTGAACCCTGAATCTTGAACTTATCGTTAGGCACAATTTTTCTTTTCCAAAAGATCTCGGACACCCTGTATATATTGGGTGAGTGCAAAAGTTCGTGCGGAGTTTGTGAGTAAAAGTCACACAGTGATTAGGCAAACAAAAATCTTTATTCAATCAATGATATATTCTCCATCGTTTTCTATAATCTTTTCCCAACGTTCTGGCAGCATACGGATGCCTCGATCATAAAAACTGCGCGGTTTAGATTCGAAGAACGAAGAGACGCCGTTTTTTAAGGCCTCCAAAGAATCAAAGTTTTTTCCATTTAAATAATTTTGCAATGACCGGAACAAGTGATAGTCAGATGGTGCGAAATCAGGAGAATACGGTGGATGCGTTAAGACATCCCATTTCAGGCTCTTCAGTTTGCGCAGCGTCTTTTTCGAAACGTGTGGTCTGGCGTTGTCGTGATGAAAGACGACTCCCTTGCGATTTGACAAAATCGGACGTTTCTCTTTTATTTCTCGATTCAGATTGGTTAATTGGCGACAGTACTTGTCCGAATCAATCGTTTTGCCAGCGGGGGGAAGCTCGAAATAGATTATGCCCTTTCAATCCCATCAAACAGAGAGCATCACCTTCATCGAGTGCAAACTGGCCTTTGGCATTGCGTCACCATGCTCACCTGATTGTTTCCATGTCCGTTTGCGCTGAACATTGTTGTAGAGGACC